ACACACACACACACACATTTTTAACCGATCGGAATTTCAATCGGGAATATTTATATATTAGTAATGGAGTGGAACGCTTCCTCGGAATACTGAAACGACACGAAGTAATATAAAATTTACCGTAAACTGGACTGGTGTTTCTGAGACCGGGGTCGAGGAGCGGGACTTATTATAACACAATATGATGGTGGTGTGGGTCTGGTAGTCGAACCAAATGCTGCCATTATCGTGGCCGGTACAGTTTTAACTCGCAGCACAAAGGCATGTCAGAGTAAACATTAAACAAACCAAATGTAAACTTTTTATAATAAACTAATCACTGTCAAAGGTCCTGAGAAATTCCCAAATGCTTGTACGTTTGAGACGAAAATTTGTCTAGAATATTGTGGCAGCTGTAGTTTAGTTGTCGTTTCATTAATATAATTTTCTTCATTATTTAAGCAAATTTACGAAAACCGAGCGCATGTGTATTTTCAGCCACAGGATTCTCCAGCCTTACGGGTAGTGTGCCACGCACGGCAAACACGTGGTAAGAGTTTATCTTCATCCATTACTTTATATTAAGGCCTCCGACTGGCCCGCCATCCAGTGACCAGGAAAACAACTTCTTTGTCTTAAGGGTATAAATATGCTAGAAAAATATTCAACGAGAAGTACGTTATATAAATTATCTCCATATTCCTTTTTATATTTCTTGTACATTGTTGTACACTAGCATAAATCCTAAGGGATGCATCCCCCTATAATCAAGTTGAGGGATTTCCTATATCACCCCTATAATTCATGTAATCCTGCGAAGGTCAACCTTTTGGCTATTAGAAACAGTCAAGGGAGGACAAAATGGTTTTTAAGTTTGTTCAAATGCACTTTAAGTCAAGTCATCCTCTTCAATCACAACAATGCTAATGGATTTGATTTGTACACCACACAGTATTATGTATCAAGTGTATAATATTCACGCAAGGATTAATTGAATAGAAGCTTTTAGTGCTTTAAGAATTTTATTCACTATATATGTTGTTCTAGAGACTATAAAACACTGAGTTACATGTTCTACAGTAATAAATTATATTAAATTAAGAGCTATGCTACTTTTAATGTCTAGAAACTACATTTACTGGCTAAAATTTCTTTTAAGTTCAGGCAGCAAATGTAAGATCCATTTACAGAGAACATGAACTTCAAATTAAAAAGGCAAACTGTACCAACATTAAAATATTTAGCCTTATCTAAATGTATGCATAACTTAAGAGAGTATTCACTTGTAACACATTTGTTAGATTACTGCTAAATTATTGGGTTAATTCATGTTCATAATATTGTATCACGCCCTAAGGGAGCCGAATCATTTTTTATTGGGTGCACATTAATGTTGAAGTATTATGTACAGTAACGTACACCCATAAAGTTTTTCTGGTATTAGCCGTCTAATCCTTTATTACCATAGTAGGTCATCTTTTCTCGTGTGACAAATACCAGTCATGGACAGAAAATCCATATTGAGGACCAGCCTGTAAAGGTATACGAGACGTTCCAAGTCCAGCCTTTAAACTTCTTTTAGGTTGACAGTCTAGACCTGCACGTCGGCGAGGCAAGATCTTCTTTACTCCCGAGGTGCTACGTGATCCTGACGATGGGTACAACGCTGACTTGTGACCAGGCGAAGGTAGTAAGACTGTATCCAGTCGAATGTCCTTCACCCAAGCCTAAACCTCCTTGTTCTAAGGAATTTTTTTGACGTCTTAGGAATCGGGGAGGGGGGGGGGGTGACACGGGTCGTCCGCAGACCGGTGAGTGGTGGCCTTATGGTCACCTTCGCGGAATGGGGACAGGCCCAGCAAGTAGCCAACATAAAAAAATTAACGAGATAAAGATCCACGTGGAAGCTTATACAGCGGATAACTTTGTGTTGGGAGTAATCTCCCACACCAAGATAGACCATCTTGAAAAAGAAGAGCTGGCCGAGCTAATCGGAGACCAGCTTTCAATAGTACAGAAGCTGACAAGCTTAACTGCACTGGCTGGTTATCCAAAGCACCGTATTGCTGGGATGGGGGAACATCCCTGTAAGACCGTATGAAAAAAGACCCACAAGGTGCTAGAAATGCCAGAGGTATGGCCATCTGGCAGGGAAGTGTCGAGCTCGGGAGGTTTGTGCCACTTGCAGGACACACGGGCACCAGCACACCAACTGCTCGGCGCAGCTTGTGGTGGCCCTCACTCCTCCTCCGGCCGGGAGTGTCCCAGGTGGAGGGAGGAGTGTAGGGTGGCTAAATTGTGAAGCAAGAAATAATTGAGCTACAAGGAGGCTCTCCTTGTAGTGAAGACAGATGAAAAGAAGACTCAATACCCAAACAAGAGCGAAGGAAAGACGAACGAAGCCAGATACAGTAACATTAAAATTATCATTTTTTCGACCTTTACGAAAACATACCGCAACAAGACCAGGAAGGAGAATGGAAGGTGAAAAACAAAGAACAAAAGTATGAGCTCCAAAGAAAACGACAAAGGAAAAAAACAGCTTCGACGGAAAATAACCGAAAGGCGAAGAGGCCAGTATTCTCAAAAATAAAGAAAGGTTGACAAACGATGAACTACTCGGTTAAATGAAGTTAAAATGCAGGTAAGATTTGGTAGTGTCCAACTGTGGAACTCTATATTTATTTTGGTGTTATAGTTTGACATTATTCGAATATTGTGATTTTCATCTTATATTTAATTATTCTCAACAATTCTAGAACATTCGTGACGTTTCCCCTCCAAATACAAATTTACCTCCTCAGGTTAGGCTGAATACGTGATTTGTGATCGAAAGAAATGAAAGTCGATCATTTAATTAATAAAAAATAAATATAATATCATATAATTTTAACTTCCAAAACTGTATGATCAGAGACTAAATTTTCCAGGTTAGGTTAGGTTAGGCAAGCTTAGGTAATGCTTTAACGGATTCTGTGCAGTCATAACATTGTCTTTAGATCATTCAAACATCATCTGAAAATTTGGTGTAATTCCATAAAGTCCTTCTGGTGCTTCCTGTCGCCTATAACATTACCATATTGTATACTTTTGAAAATGAACCTTGGTTCACGAGTTTTGCTCATCTTCTTTGCTTGCTTTTGAAAATGAGTTTAAACTTGTGTCATGCTTACTAAATATATCTGCTTGCCTTTCCTTGTCGTTTGAGAAGTAATGAAACCTCATGTCTTTATTTTTATTTGTGCCGCACACAACACACTGGTGAAACCCGTTCCTTCTCGCCATATCTGTGTAACTCAAGTCAGTCACCATGTTCAGCGGCCAAGAGTAAAGAAAACACAGCCGACGTAACTTTTCCCGTCATTTAATGAGTGCCATCTAGTGGCCAGGCGTGCGTACTATGGGGATCTACATTAAGTAGCTCTTAGACGTGCTACCTTTTATATACTTCCCTTGATCCAGCCTGTGCGGACTGGGCCGGAGGAAAGGTGCCACAAGCTAGCACTCAAAGCGAGCAACTCAAGAGAACCCTTTACTGTAGTCTCAATCTTCCCTAATGACACTTCCGTTATGGGAAGTCCTTTTCAACTTATGGAAGGGACCCCCTCCCCCCCCCCACCTCCCGCTGGTATGGCTCATCAGATCAACAGGACCTCAACCTCTCCCCCCATTCCTCCACGGTGGTTCCCACTAGTGGGAGTTATTGTGGAGATGCTGTGACTTTCGATGGTACTGGATTGATGGGATCTCTCCTTCAGGAATGATTTTCCAGTTCCAGAATTACTCCAGGTTTTCGTGTTTGGGATGCATTTAGTAATGTTTTCCACGAGTCCACACTTTGTGGTGATATCAGCTGGTCAATCTCTTCATCCGAGGAATGGGTGGTGATACAGCCTACACGTGGCCTCTATGATGGCAGTCTGTCGGATTCGTCCTCAGTGTTCATCTTCAGTCAGTTCTACCTGTAAAATATGACCACACATCAATATAAGTATAAAAACATTAATTTGGCTCCAAAATATAATGTATTAGGCGTATAACGCTACAAACAGTGCATTTACAAGATATTCATGCGTGTTTCAGTGCATCTGTTTAAAAAAATAGGGAATGTGATAATGTGACCACCAAACACCTAGACGAGTGGAGAGGAGAGCAAATGTATTACCTGTCTCCCCGGTACTGGCTCAAGGTACACGCGCTACCACAAGAGTCAAATAAACAACCCTAGCTAAACTAATATTGACATAAAAATATAAAACAAGGTACCAAAATTATATGATCAGATTATCTAAATACAATGTACTATAGATGTAAGGCAAGTCTGGAGGGTAACATATTAAAAGGGGTATAATGCAAGGTGTACGAACTCTCAGCTGAACCCGGCACCGTGTTGATGAAACAAGCTGACGAACCATCTCTGTGCGACCCATTTACCAGACAGAGAAGTATAAGTTACAATTTCTTCCTGCACCTGACTCAAAAAACTACATAATCAGGACAATGAAATAAAGGGACAAGGGGCAATGGCTGAGTCATAAGAGGATTAGCACATCGTATGACAGTTGGTATTAAAACAGTACAGGAGATAGATAGCGAACATAAAAACCAACAGAAATAGTTGACGAAAGTTAATTATGAAACTGGGAATAATCCTAGATTCACCCGTGACAGGTTAGTCTAGGTTAGGTTATGCTATGTCAGGTTAAGTTTGGTTAGGTTACGCTACGCTAAGTTGTTATAGGTAAGTATCTCTCTTAATCTATTATTCTTGGTGACTAATTTATTCTTTAATAAGAATATGGACGAAAAGACCAAATTGTTGAGGCTCGGTAATACATCATAACATCAACATATAAGAGAAACATTATTATAAGGTAAACAAATATAAAAGTTTCCTTTTATTCTTCAGTTATCTCAACAGTCACCAGAGGCAACAAGAATGGAGGAAATGTAACACGACAGTGTAAGGTCATGACATTTATGTTACCTTGACTGAGTGACTGAATGACTGGTTCAGTTGTGAATTGATAGTGGTGGTGACGTCATCAAAGGGTACACTATAAAGGCGGCAGGAGGCCGCCGGAGAGTCAGTCTCAACTGGACCTTTCTGCACTCAACATGCACAAGATGGTAAGTCAAATAAAAGCTCATTACTGTACGTGATGTAAGTTTATTGAACTTTGTGGATGTCGATGGATTTGTACAAAACTTACATTTAAATTATTTACTTAAAATTTTTTCTTTTTCAGGTGATCGTTTGGTTGTCTGTTTTACTTCTTGTGGTGGTTGCTATGGCCGATCCTGGGTATGGTGGCTATGGTCAGTACGAAGACTATGGCCAAGGGCACGATGACTACGGCCATGGCGGTCGTGGTGGATATGGCGGTCGTGGTCATTACTCCTATGGCCGAGGTGGACGTGGCGGTCGTGGTGATTATGACTACGGAGGCTACGGTGATTCGGACTATGGAGGACAAGGTTATGCTCATGGGGGTTACGGTGAAGGTTACAGAGGATACGGTGACTATGGACGTTATTGATATGGTCGTAAGGAAAACGCCAAGGAATTTATAAACCTTACAAAATAAAAATTCTTGTGCTTCTTTTGTGTTTAATAAAACCCAATTTTTTTTTAAGGATTTTGATGTATTCCTTAACTCAACAGTTTACGAAACATAACGGTTTATTTTATCACACGCGCTCATAACAGTACGGATGTAACCTTCAGACGTAATGTTACGTCTGGAGTTAAGATGCGTGGTTTGAACACACCTGGCCGTCTCCTATTCGCACACACAAATGTAACAGATCTGAATTTCTCCTGGTTTATTTAAATGATTGTAATGCAGTGAAAAACCGTCCTCGGAATACCGAATCGGCACAGGCAAATTAACCTAATTTACCGTGACTAACTAGTGTTCCTGGGGTTGACTCTCTTGTAACATGACCATTACTAATCTGCAGCACCGAAAAATATTAATTGTAAGACATCCCATATATTAGATTGCTCCTTGACACAGCCTGCATTAAAAGAGGACCAGTCGTAGGCCTTAAAGTAATGGTTGGAGATTAACTCTCACCCAGTGTTTGCCGTACGTGGCCCACGATCCGTAAGGCTGGGGGAATAGAATCCTGTGGCTGAAAATACATCTAAGATTTATTTTTCTGGCGAGACATTTGGGTTGAAATGCCGATCAAAATTTTTCTAATATGTCAGATGGGGCTAGGTTATTGACACTTCCTTGCATCCTGTGCAAAAGTGATTACAGCGCCTAGAGTTTATGCGTGCGTAGTCGACGCGCATAAAATGGCGTAAGTACCTCAAGTACCATGGATTGCATCGGCAAGTTACATATAATGACAGGATGATAGCGTGGGGTTGGAGTTCCCGATACAATACATTTGCTAATGGCATGGTGTGACAGGTCCCAAATAAGTAATGTCTGGAGAGATACTGGTCACGAGGAAAGGGTGTTGCTAGGCACATAGGCATTTGCAGTATAAAGGGACAAACTTTTAGTGCGTGTGATGAGTGTTGCAGTGACGAGTAGGAGGTTGATAGGGGACGTCCTTCCTGGCGGAGATACGTAGTCAAAGTACCGTCAGCCAAAGATGCACCGACCCCACCGTAAGTCTCGTGCTCACAATTTTGTCTGGCACTACTTGAAGTAAGGCTGCATGTAAAGGTAATTGGTGGCTCTGTTTTCGGCTGTATCACTCAGGATAAGTATTAAGCAAACCAAAGATAGAATTTTTATATTAATAAACTATTCATTGTTATGTAAGGTTGAAAAGTTTCCAAATTTTCGTAGATTTGCTTAAATGAAGTAAATTTTATTAATGAATTGGCAACTATACTAAAACCACAGCTGCCACAAGATTCTCGTCAAATTGAATTTATTAAACAAATGTACAAACATTTCAAAATTTCTCAGGACCTTAAATAACAATGAATTTATTAAAAAAAAGTATCTTTGGTTTGTTTAATATTTATCCTGACAGTGATAAAGCCGAAAACAAGATCCACTAATCACCTTTACACGCAGCCGTACTCCAAGCATTGCCAGGTAAAATTGGGAGCACGAGACTCAGTGTGAGTCACTTCAACCATGATCAGTACAACAAGTGTAGACCCCATTGATGGTTTAGATGGCAGTAAAGTGGTCAGTTAGACTCACTAAGCGCCATCAAGGGTATCAAGTGCTCTTTAAAGAGGGTAAACATATTCCTTACATTACTGTGAAGGATGAGGAAGCAGTTAGGTATTTAACTACAGAAGGTTTTGAGAATGTAATGATGAAAAAGACTGTGGAGTCCATTGCAATCACGATCTCAGTCCACTAATCGAGAGGATAAAGGTAATACTCTAAGGAGCGATATTGCAGGCACACCGAATGCTGTAAATGTGTGGGAAAAGCATATGGAAATACGTAACGCAGCAGCACAGAAGGACATAGGCAACGGGGGCAATAACCTTACAGCCCCTAACAGTCTAGTAGAACTCCGTAAGGAGATTGATGAGCTCAGACAAACAGTAATGGATATCAAGAAATGCTTGGTGAACCTTGTGCCATAGAGTGATGTTGCTCTTGTTAATAAAGATTGTCCAAAAGAAAATGAAACATTAGTAGAGATGGAATCAAATAATGTTATTGTGGATAGCAATCTAGAGCAAAATGGTAATCATAGTCTGTTAGGAAATATAGTTGGTTCGGTTTCTACAGAGAATGAAGTAAACAAGAAAACGCTCGGTGATCTGACGGGCATTATTGACTCTGTTTTGGAATATATGGAAAATCTAAGGGACGACGTCAAAAAGAATGTTCTTATTTCGGTGAAGAACAAGAGGGAAAAATTTATTCTGGTGGGTCATAATGTCAGCTTAATTTCCATGAATGTTAATAGTTTGAAAAAAAATAAAGTTTAACGGATCTTCATGCATATGTTCATTCTAGTAGTATTAATGTTGCGGCTTTGCAAGAGGTTGGGTCAAACGGAATATCTTTGCAACTAAGAGGTTATCAAAGTTTTGAATTGCCAGCTGATTTGACTGGAAATTACTGAGGTTTGACGACTTATATCAAAGACATTCATTCCGCTCTAAAAATAATTGGTACCGAGTATTTGTGTTAGTATTACGCTTCAAGATGCTACACTGTTCATTATAAATGTTTATGTGCACGCTGATTTCTTGACAGTTGATGATCTGCCGGACATTAGTTTTGCTGATGATTGTTTACTAATTGGTGATTTGAATGCTTGGCATAACAATCTTGGCAGTAGAGACAATGAAATGGTTCTGAAAAATATCTTAGACTAGAGAAGATGCTCTTTTTAACACAAGACGGTAGATTTGATGCAGATCTATTTGTTGTATACATATCTCCTTTATGATTAGTACAATTTTAAAGAGCTCTTGTTAAGACTAGTTTTGGGCGGGCTAGTTAGCATGCTAACCAGCTCCTTTTGATGTATTTGTCAATAAATGTTTTGAAATTGAATTTGACTCGACGAGTGGAGAGCAAATGTATTACCTGTCTCCCCGGTACTGGCTCAAGGCACACGCGCTACCACAAGAGTCAAATAAACAACCCTAGCTGAACTAATATTGACATAAAATATAAAACAAGGTACCAAAATTGTATGATCAGATTATCTAAATACAATGTACTATAGATGTAAGGCAAGGCTGGAGGGTAACATATTAAAAGGGGTATAATGCAAGGTGTACGAACTCTCAGCTGAACCCGGCACCGTGTTGATGAAACGAGCTGACGAACCATCTCTGTGCGACCCATTTACCAGACAGAGAAGTATAAGTTACAATTTCTTCCTGCACCTGACTCAAAAAACTACATAATCAGGACAATGAAATAAAGGGACAAGGGGCAATGGCTGAGTCATAAGAGGATTAGCACATCGTATGACAGTTGGTATTAAAACAGTACAGGAGATAGATAGCGAACATAAAAACCAACAGAAATAGTTGACGAAAGTTAATTATGAAACCGGGAATAATCCTAGATTCACCCGTGACAGGTTAGTCTAGGTTAGGTTATGCTGTCAGGTTAAGTTAAGTTAGGTTAGGTTACGCTACGTTAAGTTGGGATAGGTAAGTTAGGTTACGCTACGTCTGGTTGGATTAGGTTAAGTACAATAAACTGTATTAAAGTGCACAGAAAGACCATAATTACTGCCTCACTACAGATAAGACTAAACACACACAAGACTAATGTATCTCTCTTAATCTATTACTCTTGATTAATTTATTCACTAAATAAGAATATGGACGAAAAGTCCAAGTTATTGAGGCTCGGTAATACATCATAACATCAACATATAAGAGAAACATTATTATAAGGTAAACAAATATAAAAGTTTCCTTTTATTCTTCAGTTATCTCAACAGTCACCAGAGGCAACAAGAATGGAGGAAATGTAACACGACAGTGTAAGGTCATGACATTTATGTTAAGTTGACTGAGTGACTGAATGACTGGTTCAGTTGTAACTGATGGTGGTGGTGACGTCATCAAAGGGTACACTATAAAGGCGGCAGGAGGCCGCCGGAAAGTCAGTCTCAACTGGACCTTTCTGCACTCAACATGCACAAGATGGTAAGTCAAATAAAAGCTCATTACTGTACGTGATGTAAGTTTATTGAACTTTGTGGATGTCGATGGATTTGTAGAAAACTTACATCTAAATTATTGTTTTAAATTTTTTTCTTTTTCAGGTGATCGTTTGGTTGTCTGTTTTACTTCTTGTGGTGGTTGCTATGGCCGATCCTGGGTATGGTGGCTATGGATAGTACGAAGACTACGGCCAAGGACACGATGACTACGGCCATGGCGGTCGTGGTGGATATGGCGGTCGTGGTCATTACTCCTATGGCCAAGGTGGACGTGGCGGTCGTGGTGATTATGACTACGGAGGCTTTGGTGATTCTCTACCATGGAGGACAAGGTTATGCTCATGGGGGTTACTGTGAAGGTTACAGAGGATACGGTGACTATGGACGTTATTGATATGGTCGTAAGGAAAACGCCAAGGAATTTATAAACCTTGAAAAATAAAAATTCTTGTGCTTCTATTGTGTTTAATAAAACCATTTTTTTATAATCTTACTGTATTCTTTAACTCAATAGTTTAAAAACGGAACGGTTTATTTTATCACACGCGCTCATAATAGTACGAATGTAACCTTCAGACGTACTGTTACGTCTGGTGTTAAGATGCGTGGTTTGAACACATCTGGCCGTCGCTTATTCGCACACAATAATGTAACTGATCTGAATTTCTCCTGGTTTATTTAAATGATTGTGATGCAGTGAAAAAAAGCCCTTGAAATACCGAATTGGCACAGGCAAATTAACCTAATTTACCGTGACTAACCAGTGTTTCCGGGGTTTGACTCTCTTGACTCTTGTAACCTGACCATTATTAGTCGGCAGCACCGAAAAATATAAATTGCAAGACATACAATGTATTGGATTCATCCTTGACACAACTTGCATTAAAATCGGGCTAGTCGGGGGCCTTAAGGTAATGCATGGAGATTACCTCTTACCACGTGTTTGCCGTACGTGGCCCATGACCCGTAAGGCTGGGAGAATAGAATCCTGTGGCTGG